AATTTTATTGTATAAATATTTGATATCTAATTCTAATATGAAGTGAACCTTAAGTTACACGGTTACACCTAATAAATTATGATTTATATGTTATGATTCATAGTTATGTGTTTCTTAATAATTTATTATGCTTCTTAAGCGACCATAAAGGGTGGCGTGGGGCGTCCCCCCACTACCATGTTGTAAGTTTTATTAAAATGCTAGAGCCGCTACATTTTAAAAGTAGCTAGAGTACCTCTACTACTTTATTTCCAAGTCGACCACTGCATAAAAGAGTGTTAAGGTGTTATGGTCTTATGGGCTTCTTATACTTACTGGTTTTTTGGATCTGGTCATCAACCAAGATCTGAAGTCTCGTAGGCCCGGAGTGTAGAGGATTTTTCATGACCAAGTATAGGTATATGGATTATGAGACGGGAAAAATAAAACGAAAATTTAGTAATAAAGGTGAAATTGGTTAGTTTGTATTATTGGGAGAATTTTACACTCATAAAGTTATCAGCACAACTATAAAAAACATATTATAATAATCTATAAAATATATCCAAAAATATGTTTGGTAACTTGTTGAACAATATTTGATCACTTCTAGACTATGCTAACTTAATATTTGCCAAGACCTTTTTTATAGTGCCAGTAATACAGAAAAAAGTCAATTTTTTTAGGGGCGAGGGGGGGAGTCACAGTGGCGGCTTGTCAAGGGAGGCAAGTGAGACTCAGCCTCACCTTAGTATTGTAAAGAAAAAGGAGGGACATATTCTATAATTATTGTTATTTCTAATCGAATTCAAGAATATTAAAATACTTAATAATATATTATACATTTTAAAATACAAAATATTTTTGTTATTAATGTTATTATACATTATTATAATGACAAAAAAATGTATTTTATTGTGTATAATATTATTATGATAGTACGTCATACTCTCATACTTCGTCACTGTTATCAAAAATCACGTCAGTTTGTCAACATTATCCATTAGTCATTTGTCGAAGCGACGTAACTTTCACTAATAGAAACAGGAACTGGTAGGTTGTCGTAATGTTGTTTAGTGTAATAGTGTAAACCTACCTATTATACTTTTATCACAAACTAAAGATATCGGTTCTTATCTGTCTAGTGTCTAGTGTCTTGTAATTTGTACTACAGTTTAGTATAGATCTCTGAGAGTATTAAATAAAAAAATAATTGACAAATTTGCATTACTCAAAGGCAGAAGAATAGATTTAATTTATAAAACATAATATAAAATTAATTTTTTTATTGTTTTAGTAAATGAGATTTATGTAATAAGTATTATTTTTTTTTTAAGTTAACATAACAATGGCCGACAAAAAATGGAATTACTACTCAAAAATAGCTAGCTCCAAGCATTACAGGTACAGGTACGGTACCGTTTACAACAGTGCAGTGTCGCGTGTCGTGTAGTATTGACATAAGTACAGGGTATTTCTATAAGGATGATCATCGATGTTTCATTGTAAAAACGACTAGTTGTGTGTGAGATATCCACTCAATTTTTATTTTATTTTAGTGAACGTTATATGGCAATTAAGTATGGAATATAACATTGTTTAAATATCCACTACGGCTTTGCTTGGTGGCATATATTCAGGAGGTCCAATTTTCTATCACCTTTTAGCATAAATCCAGTTGACTTTGCTAGATGGCATTGGTTATGTTAACTTAGAGAGCATCAATAGTTTTTGGTTGATTTGCATAGAGTTGTGATTTAAGATAGCCCAGAAAAAAGTCTAAAGGCGTTAAATCGCACCAGTGGCGTAGACCTGTCCTGAGGGGGGATGGGTGGATCGCCCCCCCCCCCTTGGATTTTTCAGAGGTGGTTATTACATTACGGCTATTAGGCTCTCAGAGTAATAGGCTAAAGTATTTATTGGATTTTATTTCATCAACGTCTTATCATGGCCTAATTATAATAATAATATTGTGGGGTTTAGGAAATAAAAATCACTCACAATTTAATTTAATTAAAAATAAACACTATATTACATAAATATGTGTGAATATAAATGTGAAAAACAAATATCAATATATGTTACAATGACGGAGAAAACGCGGAATATCTCGCGGAGAATGTGGCGGTGTGTAATTCACGGTGTGTCGCGTAGTGTATTCACGGTGTGCTGCGGAGGGTACTCTCGGACTGACTGACTGAGCGTCTGACCCGTCGGTATATATATGCGTCGATTGTTCTAGAACTTTTTTGAAATTACCCTCACGAGATAATTATCGTATATTCTAGAACATGGGATTTCCCATTATTCACTGACAATATTGTAAACAGCTTGGACGACTCGTGGTGCGTTGTTTACGTCGCCACATCACTCCCTTACCAGTGACGGAGTCAAACAGATCCTACTTGGAGACGGTCTGGAAAATGAACTCTTCTTCCGGAACGTGTCCTTTGATCCTCCTTTGAAATGGTAAKGGGTGTAGGTGTCTGGACCTTTCTCGAAATATCCTCCTTAGAATCGTCGTCTACTATGATGTAGGCTGGTTTAAGTCTATCAATAGTTRCTCTAATTTCCTTCTTCTKCATATCGATGACAAAAGTCTTTTTATTTCTGCTTATGACTCTATAGGGACCATCATAGGGCATTTGTATTCCRGTTTTGGGTCCATCATGTCGAATGAATACGTACTCTGTAGTTGCGAGATCCTTGAAAACAAAGTTTTTCTTCTCGCCATGTCGCGTACCATTGACTGGTCGGATCTGCTGAATATGATTTCGAAGGTCTTTGATAAACTCRGCTGCATCATCGAACTTGGTGGCATTATTATCTGACGTGAGGAATTCACCAGGAAGTCTAAGTGGCTCTCCATAAACTAATTCTGCCGATGTGGATTTAAGATCGTCACGCCAAGCTGCTCGGGTTCCCAATAAGACTGTCGGAAGAGTTTCTGTCCATCGGTTATTCTGATTACACTTAATAGCGGCTTTAAGCTGCTGATGGCTTCATTCCACCATGCTATTTTCTGAGGGATGATAGGCCGTAGTTCTAAGATGGTTCGTACCAGTCAAGTGATTAAGTTGTTTGAAAAGGCATGACTCAAATTGTCTTCCTTGGTCTGTTGTGATACGAAGAGGAA